GACAAGACCAAACTTTTCACGGTGAGACCCTCCCCTGTCCCCCACCCACACCCCGTCCAGGCTCTACAGAGTCACTCACGAATTGGCGTGGATGAAATCCAGATGCAGCTGCGCCCGCCGCAGAGCAGCATACTTGTCACCCATGTCCTCGCAGGCGCCCCACGCGCCCTTCAATCACAGGGAGGTCCCGCCGTCCTCCAACTGTTGGCTCGCGCCCACGCTCACGCCCGCCCGGGAGCCGCGCGCGCCCCCTGGTGGCCGGAGTGCGAAGCTCACTCTGCGCTGTTGGCTGGCCTTCGGCGAGATAAACTGTTGCTCAAAGAGGAGCTTTGAGCTCTGCCTGGTGTGGCTCCTTGGTCAGAGCTTAGGCCCACCGCACCAAAGGGTAACCTAGTTCGATTCCGGTCACAGAGCGCTCACGTGGATCCTACTCTCTCCCATCCCCGCTTCACCCTCCCCTTCCACTGTCTAAAATTCAATGGGGGAAAAATATAGCCTCAGGTGAGACATTAAAAAAAAAAAAAAATTCCTTCTGAGTAAAACAGGCATGTGAGCTAGGTTACTCTTCCTGAATTAAGATTTATGTTGTTCCTGTCATTTTCTTCCGTTTTCCTAGGGAAATGGAGCCCTAGGTTGTGATTAGAATTTGATCAGAAATAACTATATACACACATAAAGGAAGTGACCAATCAAGATTGGGGAGCAGGAAAAAGATACAAAGAACAAATTGATGTTTGACAGAAGGGAGAGGAGGTAAGAGGATGGGTGAAAAAGAGGAAGGGATTAAAAAGTACAAATTGGCTATTATAAACTAGGCACAAGGATGTATAATACAGCATAGAGAATATATAGTCAATAACACTTAACTATAGGATGTCCGATCACTTCATACATTACATAAATGTCAAACCACTATGTTGTCCACTTGACACTAATATAATATTGATGTCAACTATAATTGAAACATAAAAAGAAATCATTTAAAAATAATATGTGTGACGAGGTTGGGGAGTGTGGAGAAGGAAATGGTTGGTTCCCCTTTACTTGCACAGTTTGTTACACAGCACCAGATGCAAAGGCGTTTTGTGTTCTAAGGCCCACACTTTCCTTCCTGTGCCTCTTGGGTTCATCATGTTTTCTCCAGTTGAAGAAAAGAGAACATCCAGAGGAAGAAAGCAAGAAATAAATAAAGTGAATCAGAACAACATTTAAACTATGCCGTAAGGTGGAGACTTGTGTTCTCCAAGAACCTTTTCCACTCAATTATTTGATGTACAGCCCAGCTCAAGGAATAAACACTCTGTATATTCCAAAAGATAGAACTAGGCAAATGGAAAGTTGGGGATGGGGTTAAATATAAGGAAGGGCTTTATACACCAGCTTTCCAAATGGCGCTATGCACAAAGCACTGATTACCAACCAAGTCACCAAAACCCAGCTAAATCAGGATTTGCCAAGGATGCTATATGGAAAGGCTCTAATTGAAATGAGAAATTTGTTGACCTGATGACCTCTCAATTTAGGATTAAATGATGTATAAACTAAGATAGTTCAATAGAACTCAGCAGAGATTTTACAAAACAGTTTTAAAATCAGAAGTGAGTATATTAAATAAAGAATTTGAACTAGATGTGCCTGTGATTTTTGGGAATCATACAAGTAATGAAGCTCCCAGGAAAGAAAAAAAAAAGTCAGTTTGGGGATAGCAATTCTACTTCTAAAGAAAGAAGTTTATCAGCTACTACATTTATAGGAATCAGGAGAGGAAGACAGCATTTGAATGACAACACAAAGGAACATAATGTCTACATTAATTTGAAAACTGGAAGTAAACATAAACATTTCAAGTAATTTTCCTGATTGCATTTTTCATTTAACTGTGGCTGTTGTGGTGGTGTTTTGCTAGCAAACTTCTCTTTACTAAGCAACTTGAGCTATCTTTTCAATGTTTCCCTTCGTAGAACTTCACAAATACGATATTTCATTTTCATTTAATGGGCAAAGGAAACTTGATGAGCCTCTTCTGGATTTACTTTACTATCCTAACTTCCAACTGCTGTCTCAAAACAGTTTACTATTGGGAGGGCACTGGAGCCCTAGCCTGTAATTAGCAAAGGCTGTAAAATCTAATTTCTACCAGAGGGAAGAGTGTGATCTTCACAAAAATACACCTAATAATCTAAGCAGAGCCCTTCTACAGTAAATGGCCAGCCCTAGAGCCCTAGACAGAACCCTAAATGGCCTGAATGACATACACACATGGGGGCCTATTAGATGGTCCTAAAAAGAGGCCTGGGAGTGATTACACACAATTCATCAAAGCCTTTCTCTGCTTTCCCATTTCAACTCTGCTTAGCCACCCTCCAGTCATAAAGGAAAATCTTGCTTCTCTTCAAGGTTTACGTTTAGGATTCCTTACCTTAGCCAATTCCCTCAATCCTGCCTCAAAATTCATTTTAACATTATCTATATCCTATATAATAAAGATGTAATGTGCAAATTGACAGTAACTCCAACACACAAGATGGCTGCCCCCTTGTGGTCAAAGATAGCCACCCCCATGTGGAACAAGATGGTTGGCAGGGGAAGGCAGTTGGAGGTGGGGGGGACTAAGCCAGCAGGGGAAGGCAGTTAAGGGCAACCAGGCTGGCAAGGGAGGGCAGTTAGGGGTAACTGGGCCAGCAGAGGAGGGCAGTTGGGGGCAATCAGGCTGGAAGGGGAGCAGGTAGGCATCGATCAGGCTGGCAGGGGAGTGGTTAGGGGGTAATCAGGCAGGTGAGCAGTTGGGAGTCAGCGTCCTGGATTGTGAGAAGGATGTCCCAAATTGGAAAAGGTGAAGGCTGGGCTGAGGGACACACTTCCCTGTGCACAAATTTCATGCACTGGGCCTCTAGTGTGTGTGTGTGTGTGTGTGTGTGTGTGTGTGTGTGTGTGTATAATCTCTAATATACTAAGTAACTGACCATCAGATACTTAGTATATTAGTGGACACACACTGACCACTAGGGGGCAGACGCTCAAAGCAGGAGCTACTGGGCTGCAGTGATTTGGCAGCTGCAGTTCTTGGGTGATGCACCCCAAAACCAGAGAGGAGGGAGCACTATTCCTCATGGGGCCGCACAATTCCACCTTCAGCTGTGGATTATGTTGTTGCTCGGGCACTATCCTCCTGAATCTGGTTTACTGCACACTTGTATTTTCGTTCCACACCCATTATGACAACAACTTTTCAGTGTGCCCTCTCCTACTCCAGGACTCCTCCGGGGATGTCAGAGAACTGGTTTGGTCCTGATCCCTGCAGGGAAGACTAAGGGACCCCATCTGCTGAAGGAACCCCGCTCACTCTGCAGACACCGTGGAGGGACTGAGGGAACTTGGCTCCTGGGTATGTGCAGCCTGTCTGGCCCAGTTCCACCCTGCAGGCCACTTTCCAATTAATTTCCTTTCATTGTGCATGAATCCATGCACCGGGCCATTAGTTTCATGGCATAAATACTGGATGAATAATAGGGAAGAGAAATTTAAAATGAGAACATAATCTGTTCATTGAATGGTTAATCCTGATTTTAAGAATCGTTGATTTGGGATAAGAGAATGAACTCTTTCTGAAGTTTTGATTTCAGCTTCGGGAGATTCACCTACTTGTCACAAATAATGGCTCAAATCTTTCAAACTACATACTCCCCTTTTCTTTTTTTCTTTTTATCTGTTTTATTTAATTTTATTGGAGTTCCATGTTTAACAAAATTATACAAATTTCAGGTGAAGAATTCTACAACACGTCTTCTGTACACCATATTGTGTGTTCACCACTCTCATTCACCATCACTTATCCCCCCAATACTCTCCTACACTTTCCACCGCCAGCCTCATCTCTGGCAAACACCACATGGTTGTCCGTCTCCATGAGTATCTCTCTCTCTCTCCCTCCTTTGTTAAATAGTAATTAACTATAAAGGGGTGGGTTTATTCAATATTCTCTATTCTGTACCATTGATATTTTTGTCTTCTTTTAATTTTTTTCTGCCAGCACTAGGCTGGTTTGATTACTATAGCCTTGTAGTATACTCTGATATCAGGTAGCATGATCCCTATAACTTTGTTCATCTTTCTCAAGATCCTTGCTGCTATTCTGGGTCTTTTGTGGACCCATATACATTTTTGGAATTTTTTCCTAGTTCTGTGAAATATGCCACTGGTATCTTGATAGGAATTGTGTTGAATCTATAGATTGCTTTGGGTAGTATGAACATTTTAATGATATTAGTTCTTCCTATCCATGAATCTGGTATATCCTTCCACTTATTTGTGTCTTCTTCAATTATTTTCTTCAGTGTCTTATAATTTTCTGAGTACAGGTCTTTTACATGCTTGGTTAAATTTATTCTTAAGTATTTTTTATTTGTTTTAAAGTAATTGTGAATGGGATTATTATTTTTTTTTTTTAGTTTCCCTTTCTGATAGTTCAGAAAAATGCAACAGATTTCTGGATATTTATTTTAAATCCTGCTGCTTTAACTGAATTTATTTATCAGTTCCAGATTTTTTTTGTGGAATCATTAGGATTCTCTATGCACAATATCAGTATCATGTTACCTGCAAGTAATGAGTGTTACTTCCTCCTTCCTAATTTGTGTGCCTTTTATTTCTTTTTCTTGTTTGATTTCCTTGGCTAGAACTTTCAGTACATGGGCTCAACAACTGAATCACACTGGCTGGACTACATGGATCTTGTTTTCTTATCATTCAACCATCTTCCTGGTCTTGTATATCTTTTTCCTTCACCAGATTAAGGAAGTTTTTAGTCATTATTTCTTCAAATAGGTTTTCAATTTCTTGCTTTCTCTCTTCTTCTAGTGCCCTTTAGATGCAGATATTGCTATGCTTTCTACTGTCCCCAAGGTCCTTAAACTGTCTTTATTTATTTATTTATTTATTTATTTATTTATTTATTTTTGCTACTGCTGCTCTTATTGTGTGTGTGTTTTGTTCTGTTTTACCTTGTCTTCCAAATCACTGATGCAATCTTCTGCTTCATCAAGACTAATGTTTATTCCTTCCAGTTTATTCTTTATTTCAGAAAAGACATTCTTCATTTCGGAATGGTCCTTTTTTGTGGTTTCTATGTCATTTTTTCACGTTGTTGGTCTTCCTTATAATCATTACTCTATATCCAATAAATTGCTTACCTCCATTTCATTTAGCTCTTCTTCTGAAGAATTTTCTTGTTCTTCCATTTTGGATCTGTTTCTTTGTCTTCCTATTTTGGCTGCCTCTTTGTGTTTGTTTCTATGTATTAGGTAGCTCTGTTATGACTCTCAGTCTTGGAGGGTGGATTTATGTAGCAGGTGACCTGAAGGCCCCAGTGGTGAGGTCACCCTGATCATCTGAGCTGGGTGCTTTAAGAATGTCCCTTATGTGCATCATGTCAGCCCTCCTATTGTAATTGAGCCTTGATTGCTATTGGCCTGTTCATGTGTGTGATCAACCCTCAGGCTAGCTGACAATGAGACTCAACCACCTACATAGTGTGCAAGCTGCTGTGCAGGTACTGACCACACAAAGTGGAATTTGCTTCAGCAGGTTTTGTGTCTGCCAATATCTCCCTGTGGATATGCTGCTTGTGAAGCTATCCTGCTCAGTTGTTTTCTAAAACTGGCCACTGGGTATATTGATTCTGGATCTTTTCAGAATGACTCTGATTCAGGCCAATGTCAGACACTGTCTGTGACTGGCCCTGGGCAACCTGTTTGGAACCCACAGCATCTGGCTCTCTTCTAGGGCTGAGAGCATGTGGAGAGGACCAAGATGCATACCAACTTCTGCTTTTATTAGCATAAAGTCAAGAAGCTTGTCAGCAAAAATCTCAAAGCACCCAGAGATCCGCCTCTGGCAGTACTTTTTATCAGGGCATAAGCTCTACAGAGTGGAGCAAGAGAGATTCCAATGAGTGGGGCTATTGCTTCCCCCCAGGCTGATGCTGCATGGAAGCATGTATTTTGCTTGAGATGGATGGCTTCTGTAATGTGGGGAAGGACTCAGCACAAGGATCCTAGCAGTTGACCTCTGAGGTCTCTCCCTAGTGCCACCAACCCCATCCTCTTCTCACTTATCTGTAGTCTCTTCTGCCCAGGGTTAGTGGCTGTGAATGAAATTTTATTCATTGGCTTTTTATAAGGGTGCCTGTTTTTCTATCCATCTCTTCCTGGTGGACAGAAACCCTGCTGCTTTTCACAGCCAAATGTTATGTGTGGGTGCCTCTTCCAGTTCTGGTGCTCTGGGCTAGGGAGCCCAGCTTGGGGTTAAGATTCCACAGTTCTCATGAGGAACCCTCCCACAGGTGATCTATTACTCCAGAATTTCAGCTGCTTCCCATGAGTGCCCATGAGTGCCTCTGCACCTCATAACAGTCTTAATGTGGTCTCCTCTGCAAGTCCTTGGTTATAAAGTTTCTCTCCAAATAGTCTTCAGTTGATTATTCAGGATTACTTTAGTTATAATTCCAGTTTGGTTCTGGGAGGAGGTGAGTGTAGCTACCTTGGATCCATTTCTGTTTTATTTTTGCTACTCTGGATTGTCTTCCAAATCACTCATTCAACCATCTGCTTCATCCTATCTACTGTTTATTCCTTTCAGTATATTCTTTATTTCAGATTTGTATTATTCATTTCTGACTGGTCTTCTTTTATGGTTTCTAGGTTCTTTTTCATGCTGTTGAGCATCCTTATAAGCATTAATTTGAATTCTATATCTAGTACATTGTTTGCCTCCATTTAAGTTAGCTTTTTTTCTGGAGCTGTTCTTTCATTTGGGGCATGTTTCTTTGTCTTCCGACTTTAGCTGCCTCTTTGTGTTTGTTTTTATGTATTAGATCTACTATGATTTCAAGTTTTTGTGGATTGGCCTTATTTGTGGAGTTCTGGTTGCTCCACAAATGTTCTTTGTATGAGTTATGAGAGCCCTCATGATGTAATTTAGTCTTGATTGCTATTGGCTCTTTTAATTGTGTGATCCACCCACTTGGCAGAATCAACCCAGACTGGCTGACTATGAGGCTCAATCCCAACTGTACTGTGTGAGCTAATGTGCAGGTGCTGACCACATGAAGCAGAATTCACCTCAGCAGGTTCTAATTCCCATCGAGATTTCCCTTTGGATATTCTATTTATGAGCTTACTGGATCCTTCTCTTATGTTGTCTGAATCTGGCCACTGGGTGGATTGTTTTGAAGGAACTCTGGTGCACGTCAATATAAGATGTTGCCGAGGATAGGAAGATGGCTGCCAACGGGAAGGCAGGCTGCAAGATAGCGTGTGAGTGAGAGAATGAAAGAGAGTGTGTGGACGTACTGGGAGTGTTTATTTGTGAGTGAGGGACATCTGTATTCCAAGGGACTATAGTTGGGGACTGCTGGACCAGGGTCTGCTGACCAGGCAGCCTCCACTGCTGCTAAAATCTCTCATGGAGGAACCGGCTCTGCCACAGAGACCATGCCATCTTGAAGGGGAGAGTAGCTGCGATCGGAAGCCTAGCCTTACTTTCAATTTGGAAGAATTGGATATCTTCTGGGACCCCACAACCACAACACCAGAGACCAGAAGCAAACCTACAAACAGTAGGTCTCAAGCAGCACAAATATGCAACTCGGATGAGCTTTGCACCTTCTCAAGGAAAGGTCAGATTTCGCCCAGAGAAAGGTGAGGTCTGAGATCCAGGCTAAAGGGAGAAAGCGCGCAGTAGAATCTAAATGTTCAGAGGAAGTCTGCGCCCCACAAAATCCACAGATGTTGGGGCCAATGTAGTCCACAAATGTGGAAAGGGTTCCACAGGACTGCTGACAGAAGGGAACTCTAGAAATCAACCCATAGTTGGGCTGGGCACAAAAAGGCAGCCTAAAGCGTTACCAGTAAACCGGCTGTGCTATGCCAGGGGGAAAAGATGTGCACAGAGACATGAACAGAGTTGCACGCAGTGGCGGGGTAAAAAAGTCAGGAGTTCAGGGACTTATTCTGGCTCTTTTTTCTCTTTAAATATTTGCTTTTGATTCCTAAGCCCAGTATGTAGGATCACCCAATTAAAAACACTCTCAGAGACTGCAGGGGAAAGTTGTTTTTGTGGAACCTGGGGATTAGAGTGGGGAGAAATTATCAGAAAACCAGCTCTGGGGCAGTCCATACCCCCAAACCAGTATTAAGTGCAGCAGGGAAAACAAATTCTAAATACTAAGTAGAGAGGACTTATAGCCCTGGATGTCAATACAAAAACACGAACTGACTCTTGTGTAAATACAACCACAGGCAGGCTGAGAAACAAAGAAATACTGCCTGCTTGAAAACAAGAGGAGCTGTGAAACACAGGGAACTTCATTGCTGTCCTGACTACTTGATAGGAAACAGGTGTGCTAAACAGAAAAATAGAGGAAGTGAATGACCTTCACTATTGCATATTTTTTATTTTTTATCTTTTACTTAAGAAACTAAATTTTTTCTTCTTTTTTTCTTACTTGTTTTTATCTTTTTAATTATTATAATTTTATTTTTAATCAGTATTACTACTACTACTATTTTGCCTTTTTAAAGTTTCCTTTTATTTTCTCTTTTTTATTTTTATTTTATTTTGGGATTAGTGTTCTACATTCTATTTTCATTTTTTCCTTTAGCATCATTTTACTCTGTCTCAGCTTTACCTTTATGCCAAAATTCTCTTCCTCACTTTTCCCCTTTTGTTGTCCTGTTTCTCTTACCCTATTCCTGTTTTAGATTTTTCCTATTCCTTTTTTTTTTTACCCCCTGTTAAAATTTCATCCTACTTATATATCTAATTTGTGATCCCTGCTCCAAGTCCATATACATTTCTCTCTTTCTTCACTATCCAAATTTTTTCCCTTTTCATTTTTTGTTTGTTCTTTTGGTATTTATTTATTTATTTATTTTGCTCTGTTTTGCCCTTTTTTCTCTCTGTCCTATTGTTGTTAGTTTGATTTTTTAATAGATTATTTTGTTTGTTTGTTTGCTTGTGTGATTGTTTCTCTCTTTTATGCTTCTGTTTTTCCTCTCCTCCCTTGTTATTAGTTGTTATTTGTAGTTTGCATTCATTTCTGGGTGTTAGTTCTTTGCATTTTTTTTATTAGTTCTATTGGAGATTTCTCCCCATATAAATTGTTTTTTCCCCTTCTTTTATATTCTCTTTCTTTTCTCTCTTATCTCTCTGAAATAAAAAATAATGAAATAAAATAAAGTGATAGAAACATCAATGATGAGAGAGAAACGTTGATTGGCTGCCTTTCTACTGGGGATCAAGTCTGCAACCCAGGCATGTGCCCTGACCTGGAATTGAACCTCCTAGTTCATAGGTCGATGCTTAACTACTGAGCCATGCCAGTCAGACACCCTGATAGCTTCTTTAGCTGGAAAGGTCATCTTTAGGACACTTTCAATAAAGTGGAAAGGAGACAACAGAGATGAGGGCTAGATTGGTGTCAGTGGAGAGAAAAAGATGAATATGAAAGGTCTTGATGAGGAAAAGTTGGAAGCAAGCATTTCTAAATGGGATCAACAGATAATAGCAAATATAGTCGAAGAATTCAAGTTTGAGTGGTTTAATTTTGTTCTCCAGGGGTCTGAGAAAATCAGAAAGGATAGAAGGGGCAAAAGTTGCTCTTCAGTTTTCAGCTTGAAGTCCTGAGGAGACTGTGTTGCCATTGACAGTATTGGGTAAGTCACAAAAAATACCAGTTTAAATGATGGAAGAGAGTGAGTTCATTGTTGTCATATTAAGATTTAGCACTAAATATATAGCACATCTGAGTAGAGAAATGTCAATGCTTTTCAAATAAATATATGGTTTTTCTGTCTTCAGTGAAATTAGCTAACAACAGGCTGTCATTTTAAATAAAATATGATTTTGCAATGTGGAAAAATATTGGTGAATTTTTCACCAGACAGCGTCCAGACCCAGAGTGGGTCTGCCTTGGGTGCTCTGTAGTGTGTGGATTCTTGACTTTGTGCAGGAAAAATTTCACAACACATGTCCAGGTGATCTGGAGAATATGTTTATTAAATCTGGGGACATTGAAACAAAGGAAGGTCTGAGGATAGAAGAAGCAACAAGAGAAAGCTTAGGCAATGCTCTGCTTTGGCTAGAAATGTTATAGAAAAGAAGTGAGCCACTTCTTTTAGCTCACTGAAAAGCCAGAGAAAAGGGGGCATCCAAAACAGGTTCAGGGGGTTAATCCAGG